CCGATCATTATGTGGTACACAAAGACCTCCATTCATACATATATTCTTTTGACAAATAGACTTAATAAAACATCGAGGTGACATCTTTGCTAATGGACAAAGACAAAATTCTCTATTAACAAGCTTTTTGTTGTTCACGATGTTTTAAATTGCACGCTCTACGACAGTGGTCATGAATCGGTATGTAAGTAACTTGTTCGTGTGATTGAATCAAACCAGCATTATCAATTAAAGTAATTATAATACCCATGATGTCAAGTTTATTCAAATTTTCGTTACGAAATCGTAGAGTAAAACTGACACGTTGATTTTGATATTGTCAACGAGAGCCATAATAACTCGGTGGACAGTTCCATACGCCGTTACAGCGTGTATATTGATTAATACAAGGCCATTGTTCACAATGAGTTTCGTCGCTTAGCAGAGAAGGACGGCTGCCGGATATGAGTCACCTATTCACTAGAATAAGTTTCATCTCATTGACATTTTGATAATTTTGAATACAGGAAATGAAAATCTTACTATAATCCAATGGATATGATAGGTTCAAATGATGAATATGTATACATGTATAGTTATTATTGAGTTCAAATGTCGGACTAAGAAATGAACATTTATATTTATCATAACAGACGAAATGTGGTATTAGAGGATAACCCTTTTCCATCAAAGTTTGATTGGAAAAGAAACTAATCTTACATGTCCATCCCAAACAGGAAATTCTGGTTTAAAAAGGTAAGATGGACAATATTCAAGATTCATTTTGCATATGTTCACATTTTCACATCATTTTTGACAGTAATTGTCAAAGTCCTTTGCAGAGAAAATGTTTGATGCACATATGCCAATTTTAAAACAACGCGAAAATCGGGTGACCTGTTCATTGTGCCATTCAAAATCGTAATTAAAAACTTGATCTCGATTATTGTAACAACTATATCCTTCATTTGGTACCGACCAGGGTATACAATCATCATCGCACCATATTAACGTGTTAGGAAATCGACAAACAGTATCTTCACATCGTTTCATTGTATCTGGCTCAGAAGATTCGTCTGATTGGTCCAAGCATTCGTAATCTTGGGAGTAACTTATACCGACTTCTAGTAAAAATACTTGACTGATACACATACCATTTCGGCATTGATATTCATTTTGTGCACATTGATTCATATGTAGTTCAAGACAATACTTTTCATCTTCGCCTCCATCGAGACATAGGAGCAACGAGCCACGATCACATTTCATATGAACATAACAGGTGAAATTTGCATAAGAATCCTGTATTGACAGAATGGTCCAGCCCATGGTACCGTACAATTATAAAAAGCTCCATTGGTGAAGAATTATTCGTGTCTAAAAAATGTTGATAACGTTCAATAAGATCAATAGGAATTGCCCAATCGACTAGACTTTCAGTTGTTATATTTTGCTTTTTCAATTGATCAAACGTTAATACCGACTATATCGTTCCATTGATGACGTCTTCATATTCTTTGTTAGAAGATGGTCTAATACAATATTCAATTAGTTGCCGAGTTTCATATTTTTTGCCATCAAGATCTAACTGATGATTAATCGCATGATAAATACAATTGCGTGAAAAATCATTATTCATTAAATCTGTATGATAGAGATTGTAGTGATATTCCCATGTATTCTAAAATGATATGTATTACTCACCATTATTGTTTTAAAAGCTCTATTTCTCCTTTCGTCTTAGAAAAAAATTCTATTCTTCAAAGAAAATATAGCTTTAATAGGTAAATGAAAATGTTCTACTATCGAACAAGAAATTGGCAATACTAATATACTGATTCTATTAAAACTAAAATATATTTTTCTTATATTCTTTTAACTACAGCTCCAATAGATGTACCTTAAAATTCTACATCAGCACAGTGTGTTAGATTTTCAAAGAAATTTCAAGATTTTATTTTTGTTCTCACACTGTAATATATGTAAGTTCTAAATTATATGGCAGCTTATCATAAAACATTAATAGCTACGTAGTAAATGACAGTCTGATTAGTTTACTACAAGATGGATGAGCGGTAACAGTGACTACAATAATAAGCACGTTCCGTTTGATGTATATGATCTTAAAATAAATTATATCTACGTCAACGGTGAGAACCTTAATTTTCTTGTGGTTTTTCTTCTAGAAAAAAAAAGAAGTAAAAGATATTGATATTACTTGAGATGAATTCGAATGTGTCTACATAGAATCCTACATAGTATTGCTTTAAAATATTATTTAGAGGTGTTCATTGTTTGAATCAGACAAGTAATGTTCAAGGAATACTGATGTACTCATCACTATACTAACAATAAATGAAAACTATCGATTAGCTCTGAATTATGGGAAATAATCGAGTAATTACTTACAATTTACAATATTTAAATGAAATTCGTTCTATATTATTAAGGAAAAAAGTAAAATAGATTTTACGTCTACTTTACTCATACACTGATTAATATCGTGTAAAATTCTTAGAAAGAAAATGAAAGAAAAGAAAATGCTTATATCCATCATTATTCTTTGTCAAGAAACACAGGTCATATCATTGACTAATTAAGAGATTTCTTTTTGCACAAAAAAAAACATACTCTTTCTGTAATAATATGCATTTTCTTTTCTATTTCAAAATGAACCGATATGCAAAACGTAGAAGGAAAATATAATTTGTTTGTAGCGAACAGAGACGTTCACGAGGCAGGGTAAAAAGTATACCCTGCAACGTAAAAACCCAGTTGTTTGAATTTCCGTTTTGAAGAAATTCTTTCTTTAGTTTGCAAGATTCAAAAATAAAAATAGACTCCAGTGAGCGACACCAACTGATAATCAGAAGTCCCTCTATCTGACCCAGCTCATATTAGCCACGATTTGTTCCAACAGAAGCTGCTTAATAGATCGTCGCTAATTTTACTCGTTATTTTTAGCTTGAAGTTTTTACTGTATGTGCATCTTTAGTTGAGATATTTTTCCTTAAAATATGAGCTCAATTCATCAATAATTCATCCGTTTGAGCTTATATTTAAAGGGAAAGTATCTCAACTAAAGATAGATCTACATTGAAAATTTCAAGCAAAATGAATGCATCTGTAAAAAGATTTAAGTCTCAGAATTCATCAAACACTTGCCTCTATCATGCATAAAAGTATCACTTAAATCGGCCCATCTCTGGTAGCGAATATGGTTTCATGAAGGTTACTTCTTACTATTAAATTCATTTTACTTGGAACGAAAAAGAATGAAATCGGATATTTTAACAGTATCCATAAAGAATATCTAATCTGTTGGTATATATCTCAGATAAAAAATAAATTCATATCAAGATTTCGAAATTTCATATACGAGTTGACTTTGCCAGTGCATTCATTTATAAGTAAAAAGACATTTATTTTGAAGAAATTTAATAGCAAAAGAAATGATCGTTGAATATTTTTTTAATTCTATAAATTCTTGGTTTTTTTCTTAATTCACACTAAGTTCACATGGCACAGTCAAACAATATTTTAGCTTTCAGTTTGAATTCGTAAAGTCCTTAGCACAGTTGGTACCATAACATAGAAACTTCCCGTCAATATTAATTCTAAATATTCAGCTTGTGCAAAATATTGTTTCAATTGTTTATCTAATTCCTCACTAATTGCTCCTCCGTTTTGAATTAATCTTTTCATTAAATCGAGTGCTACTTTTTCTTTATCATCGAACAGAGAATTTTGTCGCCATTTGTTCATGTTGAAACCATTAATATTGAGAATTACAGAGTTGTGCGCCACGAAAAATCTCAATCCAAGATGAAAGAAGTGTTGGGTTATTCGCTTGGACTTTATAAAGATTAAGATCAGGTTTTCCACCAAGATCAATAACTTTCTGTTGAAGCTCAATAGGAACATCTTTTAGTGGTAATCGTGCTTGACAATTATTGTCTTCGTTCGACATAATTCTTCTTAATTGATCTAGAGACGGATAAAACAAATATTTGAACTATACTCTCAAGAGTAATTAATGTTTAAAAACAGAAGCTTTAAATAGACCAACTTCGGGCTGTCTTGTTTTGTTTAAGATAAGCCTGTTCATTCATTTGAAAACTATTCATGAGAACTTCATCATAATAATATAATGAATTTTTCACAATTTCGACCAGTTATTTTTCGAAATGTGTATATAAAAATAGAAATCATATAATATCTAAGCATATGTTATGTCATGGTATTCTTTTCTAAATCTAAATTTAAAGTTGTTGGAATTCATTTTCTTTTTGTTTTACTTATTTGCTATAATTAACAAGCATTTTGTTTTTTCTCAGTATGATGCCGTTGATGCGTTGGTTTAAAAAATATTTGCATTTACTTTCTGTTATTTTCAATAAAGTTTTGCATACATATCGTCAAGCAACACGTCATGCTGATGCTGATTCATTCCAATCGAGAATAAATCTCTTTAAATCATTCATTATTTTTCTTTTCACTGAATAGTGAACTCAATGTCTTATCATTGGGGCCCAGCAAATATTAATAATAAACCGGTTATAAATTACGATCGAGATGCTTATACACCGGAGCATTCTTATCTTACGCCGATTGTACATGACAAAAACTTGCCACTAGCTCCAAATAATAAAGAACTAGTTACACCACCCTTATCATCTGCTAATTTACCAAAAAAAGAACAGCACACTCTTCGGTATGCTTATAATGAATTGCCAGAAAATGGTATACTCCTTGCTGTTCAATTCAATAATTCAAAAAAAGAAGAAGAAAAAACAAAAAAAAGTATTCGCAAAGCACCACCAGATCAAGGAACTCTTGCTCCAGCTGTTGAAACTCAACCCTCTGAGATGAATAAAAACTATTACCCGTATTGACATTATTATAAACTTAAAAATCCGGATTGGATGATGCGTCATCGTCAAACTAATGATGGCCAACTAATCCCTTATGATACAGCTGATTGTCTAATGAAAATATTAAAAGACAGAGATCATTATCAAGAAAGAATAAGTCTTTAAAAGATGCCACTAATAATCAATCAAGCATTCCAAGAAATTCAAATCAAGTTGTAACATCTGACGCTTCGAAATATCACAATAAAAACGTCAATGATGAGTTCACAGATGAAGATAAAAGACATCGCCATCATCATCATCATAAACCTTCTGAGCCTCAAGAACAAAATCAACAGCAATTCTCTGTTCACGTAGAACAACAACCTAGCCAACATCATCATCATCATCATCGTCACCATCACCACAATTATTCTATTTCATCAGCCAAAGAATATGTTGATCAAGAATTTAGAGTTATTGATGGCTCATTTAAGAAATCAGAACGAACAACTTATTTTCAAGGGATAGGGAATCCGCCTATAATTAACAATCAAAATTCTTATCTACCATTTATTTTACCACGTGAAAATCTTTGTGGGTCAAAATCAACTGATTTTTATACGAAATATACACTGAGTAAAGATTGGAGAGATTCAATTAAATCATCTCGTATATGTAAAACTGATCCACAAACGAAATTCTATGATCGTTATTTCAATAGCGTCATAGAGAAAAAATTTACTTCTTGATAAAGTAACGAATTAAATATTATGTTTCAATAAAGATACAAATTTTGTTTTGGAAGAAAACTACTTCATCCAACACTCATAAGAAATGAAATGGTGGGCGCAATAAAAAGCATGTGAAATAGAATAACTATAGTTATTTTTTCGTCTTTTTGCTTGACTCCTATAGCGAAAATGCTATGAAAAACTGATGGTTAAACATTGTAGGAATAAAATTTAAAGCCTAAAAACGATTCTACAATTAGTGCCAGTAGTACCGTGCTCATTAGAATTGCATTTATGTTACAAAAGTTTTGAACGGACAAAGAAATTGACTGAACCAAAAGCAACTGTGGATAACTGCTATGAAATACATTTGTTACGAATTCTTTTCAAATTCAATTTTTATTTTTATTCTTTCAAGCTTTCGGTGATTACACTCACCATCATCAGGAAACATACAAATTCTTAATAGTTTCGCAGACTGTATGAGTCTCCATACAGCTACAGATAACTGATCGATTTAAATGTACTTAAAACAAGTAACGCGACGTTAAGCGTCATTAATCCTCTACTGAAATGGGTGACCATATTTGATAAATAATAAACAATCATACAAGTTTTGGTGTAAGAATTCAACAATGCTATTTTCCATGTCTCTCTGTAGTGATAAGTGTATCCAACGTATTGTTAGTTCGAGAGAGTTCTTAATATTTAATTTGATTCTTTTAATAAACCAAAGGTTCATGCGAAGTCTATTCTGTCGTTTTGAAATATTCGGATTGAAACCTATAAATAAGAATACCGTTTGAATTAGATTTTATCTTTACAAACGATCCAAATATGAAATTATTGCTAAACGATAA